CTAACCCATGTTTATAAGTTCCCACCAGTATTGGACTAGTGAGAAATCGAAAAAAGGGGCCACGACTAGCATTAAATTAGTGTGGAATCGAAAAAGGGGCCACAACTAGCGTTGAATTAGTGTGGTGACGATGTGCATTTATTATAATCAAATAAATCATATAAAGCATAATAAACACATAAATCACATAAAACACATAGCACATAAGCATGATATCTAGATGCATGACCCTAAGAAAGCGAGTAACACGTAAACACACAAGCATGCAAAACATACACAGCAAATAAAAAAGAATAAAGACCTAACTATTACACTTGGGGGACCCTAACTACAATCTAAAAGGGGAAAGAATGAAATAGAATAAAATAATAACCTAACTATTACAATTTGGCATTTAATGCCTCTCAAATAATAAAAAATTAAATTAAAATAAATATACAAAATTAAAACCAATAAAATGAATAAATAAATGAAATAAAATAAATAAAATAAAGAAAACATTCGAAAAAGCATGCAATTACACACACAAAATCACATAGGAGTAATGAGCACATAGGATCAAGTAAAATCAAAATAAAGAATAGAGTATACCTCCCTTGAATTGGTGACCTAAGAAAATGAAGTTATTTATTTATCCTCCAAAATAAAGAAAATGGTCAAGGCATCAATTTGATTAACAAATAATCACAAGAGATGGAAACAACATGAGATTGAATCAATTAAAGTATTGAAATGAAAGTAAACAACCCATATTCAAGAAATTAAAACAAGCAAGGATCCAATCGAAAGAATTAAAGAAGTTTTAAGGGTCAAATTATTATTATTGCTAAGATTAGAAATCAAGAAGAAAAAGCTTTAAAATTAATGGAATTCTACTAATTATCTCCTAAAACCAGAAAAAAGACTTGCTTAAAACATTGTTAAAACCATAAGGAGATAATTGAATTTCCAAAGGGCAAAATTGATTGGTTTTCCATACTTTTTTGCTAGAATGAAACAAGGGGAAACTTGAGGGGTTAAAATGTAATTCTTAGAAACATTTCATGCATGATTCGAAGGAACTTTTTGCAATCCGAGAAGCTTTCTTTCCTTCTGCAGCCATTCTTTTGCAGCAGTTTCTTTATTGAGCTTAGACGCATTCATGCAGAGCAAACCAATCAAATCTCAACTGATTCGACAACCAAACCCAAATGCAAGAACTTGGGACAAGGGAGAGAGGGAAGAAAAAAACTCAACAACGTGATATGAACATTTACTGAAACTTCAACCCAAATCTCCAAGAAAAACAAACCCAAATCATAAAGTGAATAAGAGAATGAACACAAAATGGATGATTCACGTTCCCCCAGTTTCAAAGCTAATGGCTTTTGTCCATAAGTTCCCAACAAGACATTTAAAAACACAGCTTTGATATTAGGCTACAAGACTTAGATTGAGAACATGACAAGACGCAAGAGAAAGAACAAGGAAACTTCAAAATATCAGGTTTCTTCCAAGTTTCTGGTTAACAACTTTTGTAAACAAACTCACCCCATTACCACATACTGAACCCAAAGCAAGAGACACAGGAAGAGACTATACAAATACTAACCAAGTGCTATAACTAGAACAAATGAACGTAAACCTAGACTTTGGTTAGAGCAACTGTGACTTCAAAGCTGCAAAACCATGTGTGTTGCTGCAACAGATGGAATTGCCATATTGCAGCCGGATGCTACATAGCACATCATTGCTTTAACTCGCGGCAGACATGCACATGGCATCCCAATCAAATAACAAGCAAACCAAGCACTTCAAACAAGCCAAAAACTTCAGCAACCAAAGGAAAGAAAAGGATCTGTCCACGCTGCTGCAACAAGCCGAGAACTCCGTGCTTGTTGCAGCAAATTTGCATGAACAAATTTCCCTCTAAGAATCCCAATAGACTCGACTATCATGAAGGATCTAAAAGCAAAGGCTGAATGACGCATTCATAAGGAAATCATTAACATCAGCCAGTGACAACAATGATACGTGAACTAGAGGACCATAAATCACAAAACAAAACCCATCAAATCTGGAAGCAAAGCAAAATTGAAAGTTTACCAGGAACTAAGAACAAGGATAGATTACATCAATCCCAGCAAGTGTTTTTGGATGTGAAATGATCCCAAGAGAGCGTGAAAAATGGTGAGGAATCCGGTGACCCGCAACTCCAGAAAGTGGTAAGAAATGACGAGCTTCCGTTTTTGAACCCCGATTTGGACCTCTTCCTGATGTTTTATCAAAAACATCTCTGAACAAAAGTTCTTCACCTCACTTTGTAGATATCCCAGATCACTTAAGGAACCCAACAAGAGATCAATTCTATTGCCAAAATTGTAGCTCAAAATAGCAGAAAATCAGCCTGATCCAAAAAGAGTTTCTGCAAAAATTTCTGTTTTTTCTTTTTGCCCTTCGTTTCCTTTGCTGTTTTCTCCTCTGATTCCCCCCCAGATTTTACCAGTTTCAATCACCTCCTTTTCTTTCTCTTGCCTTGCCCTAAACCCTCCTTTCTTCCTTTTTCTGGTTTCTTTCTTTTCCCTCACTATTTTTTTCCTTTGCCCGTTGCCCCTTTCTCTCTTTCTCTCCCTCTCGGTTCCTCTTTTTCTTTTCTTGTTCCTCCCTTTCTCTTGTTCCTCAGCCGCCACTCCCTTTTTTCTTTTCTTGTTCAGCCCCCCAAGCCTTCCCCTTGGTTTTCCTCCTTTTCTCCTCTCAGCCTCGTAGCCTCTCCTTCTCTTTTCTCCTCAGCCCTTTTTTTCCTTATTTTGCTTGGTTTCTCCTTTTTTTCACCGCCAGCTTTTTTCTTTCCATTTTCTTTTGTTTGTTTTTTCTACAACTTTTCCTAGGCTCAACACTTCTCTTGCTACCTATCCCCCTCTTGCATGTGTTGTCAAAAGAAAAATAGAGACACTTGTCTCATGCTCCCCTAATACACTTGTGTAATGATCCTCTAACACATTTGTCTATCATGTATACCCTCCACCTATCTTTTTATTTTTATTTATTTATTATATATATATTTTTAAAATCAATTTAGGTAAACAAAAATGTTAATTTCTAATTGCAAATGCTTTGCAAAATTTTCATTTATTTTAAAGAAATTGAATCTAAAAGGATTAAAAACAAATTTTTTTGAATTTTTTGTGAGTATTTTTCCTTTTCAGAAATTTATTGCAAAAATAACTTCAAAATAAAATGATGAACCAATTTTATAAAAATAAGCAAAAATACACTAACTATCATTTTGCAAACTTAATTAATTAAAATAAAATAAAAATAGAATGAAAACAGGAATAAATAATAAGTGTTAGGATCGAGGACAACCTAAGAGGGGGGGGTGAATTAGGCTTTCAAAAACCTGCTTGTAAATATTCAACCTTTTTTGACAGACAGCCCTTCTTTTTCAAGATACTTCTCAATGAACAAGATAATATAGTAGCACAGGTATTAGTGAGATGAGGAGAAAAGCAGTTTATATAGAAAAGCAGTAAATGAGAGTAAAGAGCCAAACCAAGCTTCAAACACAACTGATGTTTGAAACCCTCTATTATATACCAAGTTACTTCAAGCTGAATAGACTTGCAACCAATCTTATGTGTACAAGGAAGGGATCACTTCCTTCTTGCCCCAAAATACACTTGGTCAAGCAAGGAAGTTTTACAAACAGTCGCAAACCCTCTCTTTGCTACACTATTGAAGAAGCTATGTCACACTTGAAAAACAGCTACACGAAGATTGCACATACAAGGAATACAAATGTTTCTTTTGAGTATTCTAGCACTTGAATCACTCACAATCTGATGTAGGCTTGATGTACAAAGTTCTCCTGAGGTGGCTGACTTAGTTCCTTTTATAGGAGATCAGAGAATTCTTCAATTAATGCTGTCAACGGGTAGAAGGCAGCTGAAGAGTCAACTAGCCGTTGGTGCTGTCGGACGTCCGATGCTTGGTTTTTATGCGTCCGAATGATATAAATGAGTTCTGGAAGTTTTCTCGAGTCTCTTAGGACGTCCGATCATGCGTCCGAGGATAGGATGAATACTTGGACTTTTCTTCTTCAATTCCTTCGGACGGCCGATGCATCCAAAGTGTTGTGTCCGAAGATCAGCAACATTTGTCGGACGTCCGATACACAGGTTTTGAGCGTCCGAACCAAATTAGTAATAGAGTAACTCCTGGCTTGTCTTCTTCGGACGTCCGAGTCTGAGTTCTCTACTCGTCCGAAGATACTCAAAGAATATCGGACGTCCGATACTTTCCTTTTGTGCGTCCGACATCATCCTCAGCATACTTCATTCCTTTCTGGTCTTCTTTTTCTGCTTTAACTCCACATACCTGTTTGGTTTATTTCTGAAAAGGATCTTTACAAAAAGTATTAGAAACATCCAATTGTTTTGTAATCATCAAAAGATATGAATTGAGATAAACAATCTCCCCCTTTTTGATGATGACAAAACAATTGGATACAACACAAAATATAGCAGCTCCCCCTGACGAAGTGCATGAGTAGTATATTACTCCCCCTAAAACTGACTCCCCCTAACTAGATACTTTATACCATCAGTTATAAACCAAATCCAATTCCAATTCTCCCCCTTTTTGTCATCACAACCAACAAATCAGTATAAATATTCATCACAGTTTGGAGGTAATCATCGTGCAGATGTCAATCAGACACATTCATTCAACCAGCACACATACATACCAATCATATTAAAAAAACATCCATAACACAATACTTAGTTAAAGCATTCATAAACAGTAAAGAAACTATCCAGTTTTACAGACCATGTGTCCAGCACTTAAAACAAAAGATAAACTATAGTCCTCGATTTTGGTGCAGTGACCTAGAAGTGCCTAGATAGTGATTTTAGATGATCCAGGCCTCCTCCTGGTCAGACGATACTGTTCAGGATCCTCCTCTTCCTCAGTTTCTTCATCATCATCTTCAACTTCTTCCTCAGTAATTGGAGCCTTGCCTTTGTCCTTGGGCTGAGAACTAGAAGCTGGAGTAGTCTCATCACCAGTGGTTGGCCTTGTGGGCTCAGATCTTGGTTCTTTCTGATGAGCAGCTTCATTTGTTTCAGGTATAGGGGGCACAAGAAGATTCCTTTTTTCAAGAAAGGAGGATTGTTGGGCAGAGGTCATGGTCATCATGAGACCATCTTCAAGAAGCATAACATGCTGTTTGAGGTCTTCAAGCAGGGAGATGACCTCAGAATTGGAAGGGAAGGACTTACTGGCAGACTTTCTGGGATGAATGGTGAAAGGAGACACATATCCTGACTGATCATGGGGAGTTCTAGGAGTGACAGGGGTTTCATGCAAATTTTTTCTTCTAGACTCGGCCACAGTTTCCTTGTAGCACCAATGACCCTCAAAAAATTTTAGATTCTTTCTTTCAAAATAAGCTTTGGAGAAAACTGAAGAAGCACTTTCTTTTGGAGATTTGCCAGAAAAGGGTATGTCAAAATGAGCAAAAATGGGAGTCAGAAATCTGCCATAGGAAAGCTTCCTACGACTGTCAGTGCTGATTTTGAGTAGAAATTTGCACATTACAAATCCAAAGTCAATGCGAATTTTTTCAACAAAGCAGTAGAAAAGATATAGTTCCATTTTATTTGCATCTGTTCTGTGGCCATCAGTTGGCACCAACAGATTCGAGATGATAGTGAAGATGATCAGATTTTGAGGACTGAGATCATCCAATCTTGCCTCAGCAGGGGTGTTGAATTTGGATTGAAAATAAGTCATGAGTTTAGCATTGTAAAAGTGATGATAGGCAGAAGGAAATTCCTCATATGAAAAGAAGTTTGCAATTTTTCCTTTGAAACTGGGTTCAATGCTAGTTTTCAAAATGGAGTTCACAATGTCAGGAGTTAACATGATGTCCACAGAATTGACCCTAGAGATGAGTTCAGTGTGTGATTTACCCTTTCTAAGATTAGCAAAGAATTGATATAGCATGTCAGGGTAAAAGACATTAGGAATGGTTAGAATATGGGTCCATTTCTGGAACTCAAACAGTTTGACAACAGATTCAAGATCAAGTTTACGGAATTCATAGGGAATGATAAGTCTTTGGGTGATAAAACCTTTTTGGGAGACCAACTCAAATCTGTCTCTGGCTTCATCATCAATGAATTTCGGAAGAGGAGTGGGTTCTTCAACTGGTTGAGACACAGGATCCCTTCCAGAGCGTTTCTTGCTTGAAGTTTGTGTGGCAGATGCTTCCACATTTTGAGCCTCAGATCTAGTCCTTGGAGACTTCCTGGTGGAAGGTTCAGGAGTCTTCTTATTCCCAGTAGTGTTCTCTTCATTCTGCTGATCATCAGTGGGATCAGCAGACTGTTTTTTCTTGGATTGAGGAGTGCTCTTCCTCTTAGCGGACCTCTTTCTTTTAGCAGAGGATCTTGTGACAGTTTTATCTCCCTGGTCAACCTGTTCTGGTTCCTCATTTCTACCAACAATGTTCTCTTCAGAGTTCTGCCCATCCAACTGCTCATCAGATGATTCAGCAGATTGGATATCCAGTTTTCTTTGGGCAGTCTGCTTCACCTTACCACTACGGGTTGCAGTCTTCTTTTTGGGTGCCACAGGAGGTGGTTCCAAAATTTCAACATCTTCATCCCTAAGCCTAAAGGATCGTCCGACACTAGAAGATCCTCCTCTCATTCTAACCATGATGCAATGTGGATATATTTTTGGATAAGGAGTGTGGTGTACAAAGAAAGAGTGCAGTAGGATCCAACTGATGAATACTGAGAAGCCGCAAGGAGAGGGTTATAGGATTTTAGGGTTTCGTATGTAAATTAGGAATTTTGGGGTTGTTGGGTGTTAGGAGTGCCTTTTATGAATTATTAATGAGCAGGAGAGGTGTAATGGAGTTGGTTGAGTTAATTTCTCGAAACTTGGTTTGAGGAGGGAGGAATTTGAATTTCAAATTTTAGAGAAACTGAAAGGACGCGTCCGAGACTTATGAAGGAAAATGAATTGAGAAGAGTGGATAATTGTCTTATAGGACTCATTTTTTGAGTGTCGGACGTCCGAACGAAGTGATGTGTCCGACACAACCGTCCGAGCCAGGGATTTTCTGGACCTTGGATGAAGAACACTGTCGGACGTCCGTTCCAATTCATCGGACGTCCGATAAGGATTGTCTGGAAATAAGACTCAGAACATTTTTTCTATAACACCCAACTTAGTCCTCAAAGACACAAATTGATCTAGCGGAAGAGCTTTTGTGAGTATATCAGCGATCTGTTCTTTAGAACAAACAAACTCAACACGGATTATCCCCTTTGAGATAAGATCGCGAATGAAATGATGCTTAATATCAATGTGCTTAGTCCTAGAGTGTTGAATGGGATTTTTTGTTAGATTAATTGCACTGGTGTTGTCACAGTACATGGGTACACATTCATACACTAAACCGAAATCATTTAGTGTGTTTTTCATCCACAACAATTGAGCACAACAAGCACCAGCAGCAACATACTCATCTTCAGTAGTGGACAGTGAGATAGCATTTTGTTTTTTACTAAACCAAGAGACCAAGCAATTTCCAAGAAAGTTGCATATACCAGTAGTACTTTTTCTATCTATTTTACAACCTCCAAAATCAGCATCAGAAAATCCACACAAAGGAAGTTCATAACATTTTGGATACCACAGGCCAAAATTTAAGGTTCCTTTAAGATATCTCAAGATTCTTTTTACTGCATTCAAGTGTGATTCCTTTGGACAGGATTGAAATCGAGCACATAAACACACAGCAAACATGATGTCAGGCCTACTAGCAGTTAAATAAAGTAAACTTCCAATCATACCTCTGTACTTCTTCTCCTCAACTTTAATACCTTCCTCATCTTTGTCTAGTTTGGTAGAGGTGCACATAGGTGTTCCAACAGGCTTTGAATCCTCCATTTTGAATCTTTTCAGCAACTCCATGGTGTATTTTGTTTGATTTATAAATGTTCCATCATGGGTTTGAATCACTTGGAGTCCAAGGAAGAAATTCAGTTCTCCCATCATGCTCATTTCAAATTCTTTTTGCATGATGATGGAAAAATCCTTGCACAAATTTTCATTAGTAGCACCAAATATGATATCATCCACATATATTTGCACTATCAAAAGATCTTGTGAGCTTTGTTTTGTAAAAAGTGTAGTGTCTACAATGCCTCTTTTAAAACCATTTTCAATCAGAAATCCACTCAGACGTTCATACCATGCTCTAGGAGCTTGCTTTAATCCATATAAAGCTTTTGAGAGTTTAAACACGTGATTTGGATAAGATACATTTTCAAAGCCAGGTGGTTGGTCAACATAGACTTCTTGATCTATAAATCCATTTAAGAAAGCACTCTTAACATCCATTTGAAATAATTTAAAATTCTTGAAACATGCAAATGCTAAAAACATTCTTATGGATTCCAGCCTGGCTACTGGTGCAAAAGACTCATCAAAGTCTATTCCCTCTTCTTGAGTGTATCCTTTAGCCACCAGTCTAGCCTTGTTTCTAACAATCTCCCCTTTATCATTCAATTTGTTTCTAAACACCCATTTTGTGCCAATGATAGGATGGCCTTGTGGTCTGGCAACCAGAGTCCAGACTTTGTTTCTTTCAAATTGGATTAACTCTTCTTCCATAGCTAAAATCCAGTGCTCATCATTCAAAGCATCAACAACATTTTTTGGTTCAATATGTGATACAAAAGCAAGATTATCTACCAGATGTCTAGAGGAACGAGTCCTGACCTTTTCAGAAGGATCACCAATTATGAGCTCCCTGGGATGATTATGAGCAAATTTCCAGGCTCTTGGAAGACCATTAGGAGTAGTGGTATCTCTATTATTCACTTCTTCAGCTGGACTGATCTGAGCATCATTATCCTTTGAATCAGTTTCTGGTGAAGCAGAGTCATGGTCATTGATTGCTAGTTTCTTTAGTCCTTCTTGAACACCTGTGTCATCATCATCACCACAACTCATAGAAATGTCACCATTAGATTCATCAAAAGTAATGTGTATAGCCTCCTCTATAATCAATGTTCTACGATTATAAACTCTGAAACCTCTTTTGTTTTCACAATATCCCAAGAAAATTCCTTCATCAGATTTTTTGTCAAACTTTCCAAGATGTTCCTTGATATTCAAAATGAAACACTTACAACCAAATACTTTGAAGTAGCTGACTACTGGCTTTTTATCATACATGAGCTCATAGGAAGTTTTGTTCAAAATTGGTCTTAGAAGAATTCTATTCATGGTATAACAAGCTGTGTTTATGGCTTCAGCCCAAAAATATTTTGGTAAATTGCATTCACTAAGCATGGTTCTAGCAGCTTCTTGGAGAGTTCTATTTTTTCTTTCTACAACTCCATTCTGTTGAGGAACTCTAGCAATAGAGAATTCATGGGTAATACCATTGTGATCACAGAATTCTGGAAAACCACAGAACTTAAATTCTGTCCCATTATCACTTCTAATTCTAACAATTTTCAAGCCAAGCAGATTTTGTACTTTAGCAAATAATGAGGTAAAATTCTTAAAGGCATCATCTTTATGAGCAAGGAATATTACCCAAGTATATCGAGAGAAGTCATCAACAATCACAAAACAATATCTCTTACCACCAAGGCTTGCAGTCTGTGTAGGGCCAAATAGATCAAGGTGCAGAAGTTCAAGTGGTTTTGAAGTGGAAACACATTTCTTAGTTTTAAAAGAGACCTTGACTTGTTTTCCAAATTGGCATGCATCACAGATTCTGTCTTTTTCAAATCTGATTTTTGGAAGACCTCTAACAAGTTCCTTTTTAGAAATTTCTTTCAGCAAGTCCATATTGAAGTGACACAACCTTCTATGCCATAACCATGGATCCTCATTTGCTACTTTGAGACATTTGAGATATGAGGAATCAAAATTTTCAAGATACACAACGTAGACATCATTAACTCTTTTTCCTTTGAAAATAATGTTGAACTTTGAGTCAAATATAAGACATTCAAGCTTTTTGAATAATACAAACAGATTCCTATCACACAATTGGCTAACACTTAACAGATTGTAGCTCAAATTATCAACAAGAAGAACATTGTGAATAAAAGTTTGATCATTCTTACCAACATCGCCAATGCCAACAGTTTTGGCTTTGTTATCATCTCCAAAAGTTACCTTTCCACTTGCTTTTTGCTTGAGTTTAATAAATTGTGATGCATCACCAGTCATATGTCTTGAACATCCACTATCAATGAACCATTTTGATCCTTTAGTACTGTAATCCTGGTTCACCTACACACAAACCCACAAGATAATACTTGGTACCCTTTACATGTTGGGTCCTTGAGAGTTAGTCTTATGTTTGACTATCCACATGCATCTCATCCCATTCCTCATATTTTTCTTAACATGACAGTTGCTGTACATGTGGCCAGATTGATAACAAAAGTTGCACATTGACATAGGATTAATCAAATGAACAGGTTTGATGAATCTGACTTGCCTTCTTCTGTGGATAGCAAACTCATTTGTATTTTGGTTTAGTCTTATTCGATGAGTATTAACATAAGGTACAATGTCAATTTTTTGAAGCTGATTCTGTTTCACATGATGTAACAATTTACATAAATCATCCATCCTTTTTCTCAGGCTGCATTGCTCACTGTTGAGTAAGTCACAGTAATTTTTCTTTTTGTAAAGTTCAGCAATCGCATCAGTTTCAGTCCTTTTCAGGTTATCATTTTCATGCTTAAGGCATTTGTTTTGTCGAAAAAGATTTGCATTGTCTTGTATTAGAAAGCTGATTTTTTGCTTCAGTTCTTTGTTTTTAGCATAGGATTCTTTCAAGCTGTCATGCATTTTTTCTAGAAAAGAATTGACATCATCATCAGATTCACTATCACTATTGATTTGAGAGTTGCATTGTGTTACCTCTTCATCTCCAATGGCCATGAAAGCTACTTGAGCAGATTCCTCTTCTTCTTCAACTTCGCCTTCTGAGTTGCAATCATTCCAGGTAATCTGGAAATTGTTGAACTTTGGTTTTCGTTCAATCTTGTTTTCCTTCTTTTTCTTCATTGGACACTCATTTGCATAGTGTCCAGGTTGGCCACATTCAAAGCATTTATCATTCTGCTTCTTGTTGAACTCTAGTTTCCCTCTGTTCCTGAAGTCATTAGTCTGATTCTGGAAGGAATTGCTGGATCCGCCTTTCCTGAATCTTCTCTTATTAAGAAATCTTTTGAAGCCTCTTGTGATGAGTGCAATGTCACTATCATCACCTTCCAAGTCATTTTCATCCAGTGAGGCTGTTTCATCTTCATCTTGTGACGTTTTCAGAGCAATACTCTTCCTTCCTTTTGTGTCTTCTTCTTCCTGCAACTTAGTTTTAAGCTTCAGTTCATAGGAAGTTAGAGAGTTAATCAGAGATTCAATGGATAAGGAATTTAAATCCTTAGCTTCCTCTATAGCAGTTACTTTGCTTTCCCAATCCTTTGATAGAGCATTCAGAATTTTTCTGTTCTTTTCACCTAGAGAGTATTCCTTCTCGAGTACCTCTAAATCCTTGATCAGATCATTGAATCTACAATACATTTTGTCGATGTTCTCATGAGGCTCCATCTTAAAAGATTCATATTTGGTGACCAGAATGGACTTTTTCTGTTCTCTTACGT